TAATATTTGCTAAACCGAAATGATTTTATGTTTGCATTATATTTACAAATTGGCTGATATGTTCTGCAGACAGGAGAACCGGTCAACCCAAAAGCATACCCACTGGCAGATGCTCAATTAACAACCACGATTTTGGATCTTGTTCAACAGGCTGCCAACTACAAGCAGCTCAAAAAGGGAGCTAATGAAGGTTAGGAAAAATACCCATTTCCGTACTTTGGTTGTGTATTGTTAATTCTTCTTGTGTGGTTTTGTCATTTTCTTTTTCTAATTGGGTTGTTGGGTTTCAGCTACTAAGACCCTTAACAGAGGTATCTCGGAGTTCGTTGTCATGGCTGCGGATACCGAGCCCCTTGAGATTCTGCTGCATCTTCCTTTACTTGCTGAAGATAAGGTAATTGCTTTATGGAAATTTTTTTTCTGACATAGCTGTTTATTTCCTTAATTCTATTGGGTTGGTTCAACGTTGAATAATTAAGGAATTAAAATGGGCAAAGTAATCTTTAAGTGTTATGTTAATTGTTACTTGTATTTTGGTTGTGAATAAAATTAGGCAGGGTGAAAATTGCTTGTTTAAATTGGATTGAATATCGTGTTTTGCTCACTGCACTATGGGAAATGTGTTTGTATGTAATGTGGTATATCAGGTAATATTATATCATGTTCAGATTCCGGCTTTTAATTGCTGGACTCAATGGGAACTTGCTCGTGGTGTGGCAAATGGCTTGTGCTTTTTTGTGCAGAAACCAATATGAAAACATAGAATTTTGAGCAGTTTTAGAGCTTTCTCCCTTTTTTTTGCTAGTACCATTCGTTTGTTATGCATTTGTAGTTGATATGCTAGTCGCTGTCTTGTGAATTGTTCCTCTCAACAGTTTTTCTGTGTTAGTAACTGTTGTAAATATTTAGCTTTGAGAGTCTTTTGACGAATTGTCTTGGTTTGGGGGCATATAGAGTTTTATTGTTATCAATATGTCCCTAGATTTGAATTTTGAGACATCTGATTTTACTCCAAAGATATCAGCCGAGATAGGCTTACTCAGTCAAAAAAAGAATTTAAGATTATGCGCTTTTTGTTTTATATAAATGTTTTCACTCTTCAGCTGTGTAGCATACCTATCATGCATCTTGATGCTCAGCTTAAAGGTTACTGTGGAAGAAAAATCTTAACAACTGCACCTTGATTTCTTGTGGAGCAAAATCTCTAGGATCAGTTGCTAGGATTTTTTATTTTCCTTTGCCCTTTGCTGAAAGATTACACTGAGTGCAGAATCTCAATGATAACATTTGTGTTCAAATTTTGTAGAACGTCCCCTATGTATTTGTCCCTTCCAAGCAAGCACTTGGTCGAGCATGTGGGGTCACAAGACCTGTAATTGCATGTTCGGTCACGACAAATGAAGGAAGCCAATTGAAATCCCAAATACAACAACTCAAGGTATTTTTTTTTCTAACATGCTACATTATATATATATATATATTTGCATTTATTGTGGTTGAATTTGATCCTGTATCTTATGTATTTTCATTTGTGAAATACAGGATGCCATTGAGAAGCTCTTGATCTAGGATAGTATGAAACTCTATTTTCGGTGTGATGGGCCTCTTGGATTGTTGTGGTCGCTCCTTTAGAGGCTTTGACTGATGAAGTTGTGCCACTAGCGAGCCAGTCTTTTAGTATTTGTCCTCAAATATGATTGTTGTGTTGTATTCTGTTTTCCTATGAATTGAGAAAGAGGATAATATTGAATTAATGTTTACTAGAACTTGGTATGGATGATGCAATTAATTAATGTAGCTTGTTTAATATGTTTTGTTTGCCCTGTTATAGTTTCATGATAATTGTCTTCTCTTTAAAAACCACTTTTGCAACTGTTGAGTTATGATGATTTGGATCCTGAAATGTTTGAGGTGAAATGTGGCGCAGCAGCGTGCGGGGATGGTTAATTGGTTTTGTGGTGCCTATTCTTGTAAATTACAAAACTGCCGTTTTCCGCTATAGTTTGCATTTCTGAGTTGAGTCACAAACGAAACTGAAACCCGAAAGTAGAAAGGGAAAAGGTAGTTGAAACTTTCTACATTTTTCTATGGAAAAATTTCTCAATTTTCTGCTAAAGAAAATGATTTTCAGGGAAAACTTGAGGCATACAGACGTTTTAACGTTTGGTACGAAGAAAATGAGAGTATTTTTTAATTAAATTAAATTATAATATTTAGTTTTATTATAAATTACAGTAATCTAAGATTAGAATATGATTACATTCTAGTAATATAATTACAATTCAAAATTTATATAATTAGATTGTATTGTATTTTGTAATGTTATTAAAAATATTTTTATTTTTTAATTTTGTTAAAAATATTTTACAATGTTATAATTTTTTTTTATATATAAATGTTGAGAATGTCTTTTTATTATTTTTATTTTTAGTAGTTATGGTAACTGTCAGTAAACTTTAGAGTAAAATATCTTTATATTTTAAGTTTTGATCACAATTACATAGAGGTTGATTAGTTTTTAAAATGAATACTCTATTTAAAAAAAAAAGTTTTCGCTGAATAAATCTTACTGTTAGTGTTTTTATTAATTTTAGCCTTAATTAATTTTTAAAATTATTATTATATATTTTATTAATTTTTTTATTAATTGAAAAAAAAGCTCCCCATCCAAAGAACACCAAAGCTCCCCTAGGGAGCTCGATTTGGGGCTCCCTAAGGGAACACTTGTGCTCCCTTTTCTTGGGGAGTAGGGAGCACCAATTTGTGCTTTTTTTAATATAATATTAATTTTTAAAATTAATAAAAATAACATTTTAGTTTATTCATAAATTTTGTTAATAGTGTTTTTATTCTTAGGATGAAATATTCATTTCAAAAATTAATAGATCTTTTTAAAATTTCGATTAAAATTTAAGAAGGTAGGGTTATTTTATCTTAAAATTTTTATTATCTTTAAAAAAAATTAAAATAAAATATATAATATAGAAGATTATATTAGGAAATGAAAATAAAATTTATAAGATTATAATAAAAATAAAAATAAAATATATGATATTAAAAATATATTTAAAAATAATATTATATTAAAATAAATAATAAAAAACATAAATATATTAAATTTATATTTTTTATATTTTAATAAATAAAAATAATTTTGAAACTTAACATTATATTTTTAATAAAATTCTTATAAAACAAAAACTGTAATATTATCTTTTTTATATTTTAATTATTATTTTATTTATATACTAAATACTATAATAATATTTTTTTATAATTATATTATATTATAAAATACTAAATACCACCTTATTAATTTTTACCAAAAGTTTATACATCAAACCAAACAGACCCTATGCGTAAGTCTGCAGTTGCCGGATTCTCTTTTGACCCGACATTGTTGGACTCCAGGCCGCGCCGTCCTGGTTGAGCTTGGGACTCAGCTTATTTTTTGCCTAAACCTTGCAGGGCTACCCTACGACCACCTGTTTAAATAGACCTCTAAATTAAAATATTAATAATATTTTAATTGTTTTAAATGTATATATTTAAATTAATTTTTGATAAAAATACATTATTTATTCCTATAGACAGTCTATTAGTACAAATTCGGTTATTATGATACTTTTGTATATCTTGTACTGAAAATACAATGCAAACAAACTTTATACTACTAAACTTCAAAACATTAGTATAAAAAAGATTCTACTAATCAGTAAACTTATTATCAATAGTTTAAATGTGATTAGCTATATGTACGTACCAAAACAATTGTTAATGTTTGTTTATTCTGGAGAGGACTGGAAATCGAGATTCAGTGGGGAGTCAAGAATCGTCTTGGCGTTAATATATTTATATAATAATATTGTTTATAACGCAAAAATATAAATTTAGTATATATAATTTTTAAATAATTACATCATTACGAAATGTAAGATAAAATAACAAAAATTTAATATTCAATATAAAGATATAATTCTAAACTTTGAATAATTAAACTATAAGGTAACAACAACAAAAGTATATTTTTTTACTATTTTTAAAAAGTAATTAAATTACTAAATTAGTAATGATGAAATAATTTTCAAATAACAACAATTTTAAATTAGAGAAAATGAGATTTGAATTGTACTTTTTAAATACAAAATTATACATCAATCAATAAATAAATCAAATTTTTAAATATAATTTTTAAATAATATTTAATTTCAATTTATTGAAAAAAAACCTACCTACATTTAAATTATTTAATCCAACAAAGTCAAATATTGAATAATAAAATTTAACACAAATAAAACATTAACAATAATGATAAAAAATCTAACATTCTAATCTATACCTTAAGTGTTGCAGATATAAAATAAATTATTATAAATAAGAAGTTTTATATATTGCATAATGTCTTGCATTCAATCACCTAGTTTATAACCAAAAAGTTATAAGCATTTAGCAGCATTAGACATTAGTCATATCGTTTTTCTTCTTCTTTTTTGTTAAAAACAATTTACCACTACTATGAATGGCAAGAAAATAGAAAATAAAAGAAAATTTGTTTATGTACGCACATTGTTACAAAATAATGTGAAGAGTGACGGCTAAATCTCATTGGCTACATGTAAATCCCACGCATTGCTATCCGCTTCTCTCCTGTTTTGTTAGATTACAGCCGTCGGTAATCCATTCGATGGACGGTCTAGATCCTGTCTCACAATCCCCACCAAAAAATGAAATGGAGCCAAAGCTTCAAACCGATGCCGCTTTTTCATCAAAAAGTGAGAAGCAATGCTGTTTAAAAGAACGAATCCTATTGGTCAGTTCTCATTGCACACGGATCCCGATGTCAACAACTTAGCGGCCGCTGATATCTTCTTCATTCTACGGTTAAGATTTGTCCATTTAAAATCTTTCGTAACAAGCACGAAATTTTCACTTCTTCCCGCTTCTGCCAAATTCCCTCTATAAATCCCCCCAAATCCTGCCCATTCCATCGTCATACCTATCTCTCGGATTGTAACTTACTTTCTCGCAAACTAAACACCCTTATTTACTATCAACTTTCCTACCAATGGCTCGTACCAAGCAAACAGCTAGAAAGTCAACCGGCGGCAAAGCTCCACGTAAGCAGCTAGCCACAAAGGCCGCTCGAAAATCGGCTCCGGCAACCGGAGGAGTGAAGAAGCCTCACCGTTTCAGGCCAGGAACTGTGGCTCTGAGAGAAATCAGAAAATACCAAAAGAGTACTGAACTCTTGATCAGGAAGCTTCCTTTCCAGAGGCTGGTGAGAGAAATCGCTCAAGATTTCAAGACCGATTTGAGGTTCCAAAGCAGCGCTGTAGCCGCTCTTCAAGAGGCCGCCGAGGCTTATCTCGTTGGGCTATTTGAGGATACTAATCTCTGTGCCATTCATGCTAAGAGGGTTACGATTATGCCCAAGGATATCCAGCTAGCTAGAAGGATCAGAGGAGAGCGAGCTTAGGTTGTTTGATTTCGGCGGATAAATGGTTAACATTAGAGGAATCTAAGTTTCTGGCTTTATTTGTGGAATTTGCCTTCTGAGCAAATGGTGATGTAAATCGGTGGAACTTTAATGAATGCTCTATGTTTTTCGTTAGTTAAAGTGGACTTTATTTGGCTTTAATTATTCATTTTGGTTAGGAACTTTGCTGTGTGGAAATGGTTGCAATGAATCTTTTGTGATAAACAAGTGCTTGTGTGAATCTTTTGCTTCATTTCTTTTTTAAATAGGATAAATGAAGATTTTTCCAATCAACCTGAAAAGAGACAAATCTTCGGATCAATACTCAAAAGAAAAAGCTACTGATTCAAGAGGTATCCGAAACAAATCTGACTCAAGATTTTCAGATCAGCTCTTCTTTTTGGTTACGGGCCGAT